TGTGTTTCACTGAATAAAATCAGATGCAGACTTGTAAAGTTCCTCAAAGTGCTTCCTAGAAAAGCTCAGTTTCAGCTTTTAAAAGGAAACAGAATCCATTTCATGTCAGTATTTAATCAGTAATTCAGACCATTGATTGCATCATGGTCCAAGTTCTCAAAAGGATGACCACTATGAAAGACTTTCCACACCCCCCAACTCCTCTTCCTCCCCGCCTCCAAGCTCCAGCAGCCAATCACAGGAAACTTCTGCTGCAGCACTGAGCTATAAAAAAGCCCCACAATGCCATTCAGCAGCGAACAACAGAGACAGAGACATCAGAACCAGATTTCAGATTCAGATTACAGACCACAGACTCTCAACAAGACACGAAGATGAAGATGCCACAGCTTCTCATCCTCCTGGTGACCATTTTGATGCACGCTGCAGCCGGTTTCCCCACCGACAGAAGAGCTCTGCCAAGCAGGGACAAACATGCCTCCTGGGATGACGTGAACGTGGTGGCTCACGGCCTCCTGCAGCTGGGCCAGGGTCTGAAGGAGCACGTGGACAAGACCAAAGCCCAGATGAGAGACGTCAATGCCAAACTGAAAGCCTTCAATGGCACAGTGGCCGACCTGGAGAAGAAGCAGCAGGAGCAAGACGAGGCTCTGAAGGCGAGAAGCAAAGAGGTGGAGGAGTGGGAGAGGCTCGCGGCAAAGCTGGCCGAGGAGGTGAAGGTAAATGTGGAGGAGGCAAAGAAGCAGAGCGAGGACCTCCACTCCAGGATGGACAGACTAGAGGAAAAGGTGGATGAGGTGCAAGTGGTGGACAGCAACAACAGTGATCACACAGGAGTCCCTTTTATCCAGGTGAGAGAAAGACACTATTCATCCATCATTTAAACCTTTAAATCGACTTCAACAGCTGATCTTACAGTATATTATTGAAACACCTTAATACCTCCATCCTAGAGGGAGAAGTTTGTACCTGTGGAAAACAACGATGCTGTGAAACTGACGTGTTATGTTTTCTTTCTGTTTCCAGAGGCTGGTGCTGGCTCAGAACAGACGCATCGACCAGCTGGTGGAGAAAATCAAGCAGCAACAAGACAAACTGGAGAAGCAGAGTCTGCACCTGCAAGCACTGCAGAGCAAGGTGAGCTATACGCAGTATTTCTGAGACAGGATGGTCTCTTGTTAAGGTTAAGTAAGTGTAAGTGATAGATTTTAGTTTCCTAACGCTGCTTTTCCCACCAGGTTGGACATAAGAGAGTAAAATCACACAGACGGAGGGACGAGGAGACGGCACTGAGGGGAGAGGCCGAGCACAGCAAAATCACATCAGGTAAGAAAACAAACTGTCCCCAAGAAAGTTTATAAGTGATGAAGAAGGGCAAAGATTAAGTGAACGATGGTTTTGAAAAGACTTTGACCAGCAGCTGCTGTGAGAGGTTCGACCTCTCGAGGGGCTGAAAAAGAAAAAAATTAACTGTTGAGTTAAAGGCTCACCTTCCACTTGCTGCAGATTTTCAACCATCACTCAGCAGCAAGTTACCTAATTTCTCACTCTTATTCTGGGCGTTGCTGCTTAAGTACTCAGGTATAGAAAGAAACCAGCACAGATCGCACATACAGAAGTATTTTGAGGTGAATGACATAAGAGCACACACTTCACCTTTGCACCTGAGTTTATAATAGTCGACTCACTGGCAGAGCAGCTCACATACGGTCCAAAGTTTAGGGGTAAAGCAGGTTTTAAAACACACCTACTGTACTGTATGTTCAGAGGACACACTAAGCTTTGCTCTTTGCACAATCTGAACTGAAGCAAAGGTAGTAAATCAAACCTGACCCCCGACTGTCCGAACAAAGACCTCAATCGTCTGATGAGTTTTTTTTATGTGTGTTTTCCAGGTTTGGCCAGAGACTGTCACGATCTGTTTGTGCAAGGGCAGCGAGACAGCGGGATCTACACGATCCAACCAGAGAGCTCCCAGCCCTTCAACGTCCTCTGTGAAATGACTTCAGGTGAGTCAGGTTTGAATTATAAAACAACTGTTACACTGCTGCAAAGCTGAGCAAGGAAAGAGTCTCAGCACTGGTGTTGGGTGTCAATAAACACCAGTAGGAAACAAACACTAAGAGCAGAAATGTGCAAATCTAAACAGCTCTTCCAATACAGCATCAATACAGTGAAACCTCAAAGTGTTTTAGCCTCTTAGCTCAACTGTTTCTCTCTCTCTGCTCTCTCTGCAGAAGGTGGATGGACCGTCATCCAGAAACGTCTCGACGGATCCCAGAACTTCAATCAGTTGTGGGAAAGCTATAAGAGAGGCTTCGGCAGCCTGAACGGTGAGTACAGCAAAAAACAGAAAGCTGGAAAACGTAATAAACATTAAATATCTTCATCACCTCAAACCACAGCAGCGAAAACTAATCTAAACATTTCTCATCCTTCAGGAGAGTTCTGGTTGGGCTTGGAGAACATCCACTCTCTCTCCAAACAAGGCCAGTACGTCCTGCAGGTGGAGCTCTCTGATTGGGCAGAAGAGCAGCAGCAGCAGCAGCCGGCTGCGGCTCGTTATCGATTCCAACTTGAGGGAGAGGAGCAGAAGTTTACTCTCCACCTGGAGGAGGAGTCTTCATCTGAGGTTCAGGAGAAAATAATGACGACCGGAGCCTCTGGTCTTCCTTTTTCCACGGCTGACAGAGACAACGACCTCGCTGCAGACGTCAACTGTGCTGAGCTGCTCTCAGGTATGTGAACAGAGAACTCTCTGCGTGGCTTCATACCAGGAAAGATGAGAATTAAACTTTAAATTTGTGGCTTTTATTTAAAGAAAAATGCTCTTTTGTTGCAGGTGGTTGGTGGTTCAGTGGTTGTGGTGAGTCTAACCTCAACGGCAGATATCCCAGAAGGCCGAGCGCGCTCAGACGACAGCAGAACAGAAGACAAGGGATGTTCTGGACATCCACAAAGGGACCAAACAGCTCGGTGAAGACGACTCTGCTGAAGATCGCACCCGCCACAATAAAGCAATAAGCAGCCTCAACAAGGACAAACAGCAGAGGAGCAAAGAAAACATTATTAACTTAAAATGTTAAAAGAAGATTATTGATCTCTCCTGATCAATCACTGCATCCTCAGATGTCTCTATGCTACGCCATACGAATACTCATTGTCTCAGTGGACTATTTCAGTCATATTGACAGTTTATTAACTTTATTCCCTTTATAAGGGTTTTAATTCTTAATCTTATTTTGTAAAAATTGTGTTTTGAACACGTCTACTTTAATAATGTATTATTTTCAACATTTATACACTTTTTTAAAAATATTTCATTTGTATGAAAATAAAGTTTTTAAAAAATGTTTGATAAATTCTGGCTCTTTGTTGATGCTTGAGAACGAACAGTGTAACTACACCCATACGGTCAATTAGCTACACACATAAATAAAACCATAAAAAGAAACATTTTACACGTTAAGATCATAAAATAACTGTTTCCTGGATGGCAGCTTATAATGAGGGCTCCTGTAAAGGGCTTAAAGCGCAGTAGATTTACACGGAGCTGGTTTAATTCAGTGGTTCCCAACGTTTCTACACCTTTTCTATCATTGAGTAATCTGACGACTCCTGAATAAGTGACATATTTTATGGATATTTCATATTATATTCAGTGCATAACAATAACAACACAGAACAACTGATAAACTGTACAATGAACACAAATACCGAACACAATAACTAACATAAGTTTGTGTAAAACACAGATTATTAGTTTTCCTGATATATTTAGGAACTTTTTTATACAATTCTGCTTTTAATTTAACAATCATACATACTTACCTAACAAATTAAGTGTTTTCTTCTCCCTGACTCCTTAAAATCAATAAGGCCTCGCAGCCCCCTGTGAGGAATTTATTTACTTTCAAGTCCAGTCTTTGCCTCAAACATGCGGCAGTCAAATTGCTATTCCTAAAATGTTATTAACCCCATTAGCATGTGAAATAATGTCGCAGTCTTCATCGCTGCTGTTAAGTAAATGAACATAAACCAGAACTGTTGGATGGCGTGTTCATATGGATGCAATGGGACAGATTTTAAGTTATTGGCTCTCTGTGGACACTTTTTCGTCTCACATACTTTGATTCTGTTTTAAGGTCTCCAGAGTTTGTTTGTTTGGCACTACTGCCCCCTGCTGGGGAAATGAAACACACTGCAGCTGTGAAACAACTCAGTCTCTCTCACAAACAAATGGTTCTTTTATTTATTTACTTATGTGGCAGGTTGGATTATAACATTACAGAAGAGGGTATTTAGTCTCACTTACAAATTATTTCTTCTTCTTTCTGCTGCTTTTGACCAGTGGTTCCCAAACAGTGTGCTGTGAAGTTATGAATTCATTTTTAATTTACTATATTAACACTTTATACACACATTGTTTCCATTAACTAATTTTTAATGAATTCTTAAAATATTTTGTGATATTTATTATCAGTTAGTAAATAAATAACAAAAAAAAAGTTTCACTTACAGCTTTATTGAGGTCATTCAATGGTGATTGTTAGGTGACTGAGGAGATATATTTGCATTTTACTTCTGAATCTGTTGTGATATGATTGATTAGTGTAACATTCAGGAGACCATATTGTCAGAAAGAGAAATATAATACGCATGGTTTTGTTTCCATTCGTCAATAATCACCTGAATATAGGTATTATTGTGTTTTTGTTACCTTAGAATGAGACGTTTATATCTAAAGACGTCGTGGTTCGCCTTCTGTGGAGGACGCCATGTCGAGCTGCAATGTTTCTACAGCAGCCGAGAAGGGACAGACTTCCCCGCTAGATGCAACTGAATCAAGGTTTAAATCTGTTTCATCTCCTCCTTTCCCCTAAACTCAAACATAAAAAGGCCCAAAACTGTTTATCTACCAAATGCCTGAACTTTTATTTCACAAAAAAAAAAAAAAAAAACAAAAAAATAATACATTTAATTTTTAAGACTTTGAAAAAGATTGTTCACTTCTGTTTATTTCTTCAATATCTGAGAGTACATTTAACCACGTACAGGTCATGAGAGCTCATCTTACAGATGGTCATCAGACACACATGTAACAAGGCATTTAACTGTTGTAGGTCCTCAGACGGATTCCCTGATATTTACTATACGAGCAGGCGCTCTTAAACTCTTGCAAGGCACCTCAGACTGCCAACAGTTGTCATACATCATCTTATAGATCAGTTTGTTGGCACCAAGGCAAATATGTAATATGTGCAAAAGTCCTCAGCAGCAGAAGAAAAAGAAGCACCCCAGAAAATTAAAGCAAGCGAGTGAAACAGCAACAGGTCGCTACATATTTCCACCATTTATGAATGCATAAGAATCCATAAAAATATTTTTTTTTAATACACGATAAAAATGTGGCATGTAATTTTTTTTTGTTTCCTGTAGATAGAAGTGTGGCACACCACATAAAAAGTAATCTATGACAGCACATGACAAAACAAAAAAACTACAGAGTACACAACGAAGGGGGGTTAAGTGCTTGCTTGAATGCTCTTAAAGAGCTTTACGTTCACTAATTTCACTCCAGTGTTTATTCACAGACACATAAACGATAACTTTTATCCGTTGGGTCCCAAAAAACCAAGTGTTCAATAAAAAAAAAAACAGGAAATGGCAAAAAAAGAGGGAGAGAAGAGAGAGAAATCTCCTGGGCAGCAGGTCCACTTATGTTCTTTTTTGCATTGTGCCAGCGATGGTGCAGCGAGCAGCATTTTAAAACATCATTGTCACACTGTGATTTGTTTTCAGCCCTGTTTGTGCTGGACGAACAGCGAAATCTGCTTGTTTCGGGGCTTAAAGCAATCCAGCAGATTTCCCTCTAATGTAAAATACAATGTAAAGACTACTAGACTTCGCTCAGTCTCGTTTATGGTGTTTATACTAAAATCTGAGTATCAACCTTGTAGTTGTTCACTGATGCTAAAACGCTTCCGCACCTTTAAGACTCTTGAGGTGGTTTCAGGTTTGGCATAGCTTGAATTTAACATATCGTGAAATCAAGCGAGAGAGAAAGGGATGGAGGTTTAAATAAATGGAGGAAGGAGGAAAGAGGAGGAGGAGGAGACGAGGAAAAGAGGGGAAGGAAGCGAGGAAGGGAAGATAAGTGTGTAGAAAAGGCTTATCAGAGGTTCTGCTGGAGGAAATGCAGCAGCGTAATCTCATAATGTTCTCCAGACTCTGGACATCGAATGCTGTGTCGCTCGTTGGGATAAACCTGGGGAAAAAAAGCCCCCAAAAAACATGTTTATTCATCATTTCACATTTTACATCCCCTTAAACCTTTAAGTCAAATGTTACTATTTGCATTTGTGGTTGGTAAAGACAATTATTCTCTCAATTAAGTTTGTAGATTTACTTTTCTTGATCAAAATATTGGACAAACTGTCTTGGTATAGTTCATTAACTAACAAAATAGACAGTTTTCTTTTATTTTATACTTATTTTATTAAAAATGTGCTCTATAATAAACACTGATGGATGCACGGTGATGTCCTTCTTTATACTACTGTTACTGGAGGTTTGACCTCTTCTAACTTCACCCATCCATCCTCTGTTTCACGTCTTTATCACACATTAAACTCTGTGTATGTGAGGAAATCCTCCTACCTGCAGGCTGTACGGCTTCCCTGCCCGGATGAGTTGAGACACCAGGAAGTTAGTGTGGAAAAAGTGCACATTTTCATCTAGAAACCCGTGAAGGATCAGCAACCTGTTGGGCCTGAATTTAACAGAAAGACAGAATCTCTTAGCAGTAGTAAATTAATGGGTATCATTCGTTCTTCTCATATTTAATATAGAATCTAAGATGTGTAAATTAAAACACAATTTGTTATTTAATTATTAATTCATGAATCAAACACACACTTCTGTTTTTCTGACTTTTCGATGAAATAAAAAAAACAGCCAGTGACTGAAGCTTATTTTGATATTTAAATGTGTCTGATTTGTGAGATCAGAAGATTGCTGTATTAAAAAGTATCAATATGTTTAGAAAATAAAAGCTCACAGTCTAACTTCAGAGAGTCCAGTTTTTAAGATTTCTTCAGTATTAAAGTCATTCAGTGATAGTTGTCAGTACACAACAAAAAAATAACTTAATTGTTAATACAGAAAACTTCATTTTCTAAATTTTCATGTTTAATTCACTGTATCCATGGCAACATTATACCTCCCTGTTTGTTGTTTATCTGTTCACACAAGTGAGGACTTTTAACGAGAATTTTTTCAAAATACAAACAAAAAACAACCTTATACTGATGTTTTAGTTTATATTCATTACATTAAAATTAGGTTGAACAATCACCCAAGCTTATATTTGCTTTCATTTCCTATTTTTATTCCTTATTTAAGCATAAAATCGATTCGATAAGATCGAAAATTGTGTTGGATTCATAAATGAATAACAAAATAACTCAGATTTTGGATTCCATATTCAATATGAAACGAATGAATGATACACGTATTTAAATGTAACCGATACTAACAGGAAAAAACTGACCAGAATCAAAATTGTACACTAGAGAGGTAGATAACACAAGGTAAAGTACAGTATAATGAGGTAAATATGAAGTAATTAGCGGCCTTTTGTCTCACAGTTGTCTGATGCACATAGCAACAGAATGGTAACACATTGTGAGCATAAATACTACACAAACAAAAACAAGCGCTCTCACTCATTGGGGAGTTTGTCGACATGCAGGGCGACAGAACAAGCCTCGTATCCTTTCTGGTTTTTGTCAGGTGTGTCCAAATATCGCTCTGTGTATCCGGTGTCATAGGCCATCCACAACGTCACTGGAGCTCCTGCTATGCCAACCTGCCAGCCAATAAAACAGAAGCATTTTGAATTTTCTATTCTATTCGGAAATATCACGAGATCAATGAAGCCGTTTTAGAATAACAGTAAAACAGCAGAGATCACTTAAGTTGAAATGAGGTAGAAACGGTAACTAAAGTAACTATTCCAGCTCCAGTTCAGCACAATAAGAGAGTAAACGTTAGTGGTTTTGACCTTGAAGATGTCGGGTTTGTGGATGAGTCCCATGAGAGACAGGAAGCCTCCGTATGACCAGCCGTGGATGGCGACGCGACTCAGGTCCACAAACTTGTACTTGTCAGCTATGTAGTGCAAACCCTCCACCTGGTCTTCAATCTCCACCTGACCCTGATCGGAGGAGAACAGAGAGGTAAACTCAGCTGGCATCAACACTCGTTCACTACCAATTTACATACAGTTAATTATCCACTATAACAAAAGGCTGCCGAAGTGAAATACATACAGTAACAAAACCATAAAACACCACATTTCAGTGTCAACAAACACTCTACAGGAGTCTGTTTGTATATTTCATCATCAGTTCCTGAAGCTGACAGATTATCTACGTTATAATTTACCATTTTGTCCTTCACAGCTCCTTCAAACTTGAGTCCCCGCTGACAGGAGCCCCGCCCATCGATCACCAATACAACGTAGCCCAGAGACGCCAGCGTGCTCAGCCGCAGGTACTTCACTCCTTTATAAGAGTTATTCACTAACTGGACCTGGAAGGAAGAAAAATGTGTTTACAAGAAATGTAATTTGGCCAAAAGATACTTTAACTAGTAAGTTTGAACTATTTCACTTTGACATCAACTCAGTCACAAGTTTGAATCCTTTCGAACTGTCCACAAGCAAAATCCATGTCCTAGTTTTTCTTACGCTACAACATTCAAAAGTTCAGATCACCAAAATGTCCTCGTCTCAATACCAAATCCATATTTTCTACTCATCATTCAGTTGATAACCTTTGCTCAACAGCTTGACTCATGACATCACAGCGATCAAGCGAGAATCTTGCCGGGCTTCAAGCTATGAGCTGGTGTCCAACCACAGTGGTTTGGACCAATCAGCGTTCTTTGAGGAACTACTGGCAGCTATAGCGTGAGCTACGGGCGTGGTAACACTAGGTGTGCATGAGAAGTGACCATGCCGGCTGCTAAGGAGGTTAGCGTAGATGATGTGGCATCAGTTATATCAGACCTGGACAGTAAAGAACAGAACTCAAGGCTTTTCTCTTCTCCCGACTTCTGCGACTACGTTATATGGCTCATTGATCTGACTGGTTGAAATTCACCTGTGGTTCTTTGTACCCATCCGACGTTTTCAGGTTATTCAGCTGACAAGACAAATTCGTTGTTGTTTTGGCTTTTACAGTTTACATGACATGAATCTAATGTAACAGTTGAAGAGATCCAACCTGCGGACCGCCGTAGACAAAGATAACGGTGGGATGCTTCCTGCCGGGGACCAGGTTGTGTGGTTTGTACAACATGCCGTACAGCTCGAAGCCCGACTTCCCTGTGAAACTAAAGATCTCTGGAGGAGTGCAGTCAGATGGGAAACCTGGGAAATAAACAACAGATATAAAATGATGATATGTAATTTATGCCCCTTTTTAAGATACGAGTTTCATCTTAAAACAGGTGATAAAACAATACAATCTGTTATAAACAGTTAAAAGTTTGTTTTACCAGAAGACTCCATCATGCTCGCCCAGAACTGAGGCTCTTTGTGCAGCGGGTCGCTGTCTGAGCCAATCAGCTTGTAGATGTGTACACACGGTGCCGCAGTCAAGCTGCTGTAGTGGCTGATAAACATGTCAAAGGTCTATATAGAAAACATAAAAGGCAGAGTTAAACAGTGTCCCCGACTATTCACATTTCTGCTGAAATCTGTGGAGACAAAACAAAGACATCTTAACCTCCTAATGCTGGAACACAAACCGCCTCGTTCTGTTTTTTAATTAAAGTTACATTCATGGGGTTTTGAAAGCTGATGCAGGCGGTGGTAATGAATATCATATAATTGTGTCAGAAGCTGAAGAAACACCATAGGAAGACTCACAACACACTTTATTTTATGTGTGTTTCAGGTTTTTCAGACTGTTTTATAGCTCAAACAGAAGCGTCCATCGTACCAGAGGAGAGTGACACTGACCCAAATAAAAGACAAATGTTGTCCTGATAATCTGTTCAATCTTTAAAAACGTACGTCAATTACAAGTTTAAGCTGCATAATTAGTTTATCTAAATCCTCTAGTTCAAATCAAGTACAATTAACTTTATTTTAAAGAAAATTCATCTTCTAGAAAGTGACGTACAATTAACATCACTGTACATTGTATTTATCAACCACAACCACAAATTACATCAAGTTGATGAAAAGTTGAGGAAAACTTCCCAATAAACTACAATAGCTTTGGTGTGTGTGAGAGAGAGCGGTAGAATACCTGGCTCACAGAGCAGCTGTGGGAGAAACCGGGTTTTGTGAGTCGAACGATTTCACCCGGTGACTCGTAGCTCACGACGTAGAGGTGATGCTCCAGAGGAGAGTCTTTGGTTCCCTGGAAGTAAACCAGCTTTGCTGCCTCGTCCACCCAAATCTGAGGACTGGACGAACGCTGTGCAAACACCACAGAGCAAGAAAAATGTAGGTTTTGTTAAAAATACAAATTATAAAAAGAATCTGCTTCAGTTAAAATACATAACCGTCTTATTCCTTTAATTTATTCTTACTGTTTGTTTTCTGGTGCTTTTATTTTTTAAGCTTTTTAAAAATGTTTAATTTTAATAAAAATATTAAATTATTATTATTATTATTATTATTATTATTATTATTATTATTATAAAGCCTGGATTATACATATCATACATAACATTTAAAATTCAAATGTTATTTAAATTTATTGTTGAGTATATTTTACACTTATTTTTCTTATATGGTATAACACGTTTTTACAACTCAGTGTTCTGGACACAGAAAGCTTTACCTTTGCTCCGTGATTGGCCAGCACCTCCCACTCCCCACTGGTTATTGTCACCTCCTCTTTGACTGGACACTTAAAATCGTCTGGTGAGAGAGGAGAGGAGTGAATTAACTCAAAGATCTACTGACTTGTTGACAATGCAGGGAACCAACATTTTCCCCTTTCCTCCCCCCAAAAGAGTCTTATATCTGTATACGTATGTATAGTAACACCTTCTCTGAGGATATTTTTGGGTACATGATGCCTGTGCTTGCTGATCGTGTTACCTTCAGAGTGCGTGTAGCCTTTGGCCCAGTTGTAGCTGCCCCGCTGTAACTCTGAGGTAATCTTATACAGGTGGCAGAAACCTGTTTTTGATTCATTTACAGTTATGAAGGTGATCTCATCATCACTGGTTTGGATGAATGGATGGAAGATGTCATGGACCTGAGAGGGAAATAAATGATCAAGATTTTAAACATCAACTCATCTCATCAGCGTAAATCATAAAGCTGAAAACAGAAAGATGTGGTGTTTGTTCCTCACATTGATCCAGATGTCGCAGGTCTCCTGGTAGATGATGAAGGGCTGGACGGCCTCTCCGAGGGCCTCCAGGCTCTCCTGCCTGCCTGCCTCGTCCTGGTTTGCAGGGATGAAGAGCGCCGGAGGCAGTAGGACCAACTGGAGGTGCTGCTGCCGTCGGTCCATCATGACCGCCCACGCACTGACACACACAGAGAGTGACGGGCGTGAGCATGTGCAGTATACCGACTCCATGTTACTTAATTCTGGAGCTCGCCAATGTTTTAAAAAGGTGCTTTTAAAATCTACCTTCTAGAGGGGAAACTTACTATCTGCCGTCTTTTGTCCATCCGGCTCTGGTGATATATTCGGCACCAGGAAACAGACTGGTGAAGGGAACCGGCAACACCTTTTCCTGTGTGCTGACGATCTGAGGGAGAAACACCAAGTCAACGTTTGAACAACTCTCTGAAGGACTTTCTGGTATCAAGTTTTACGGCACTGAACAAGCACTCACTTTGCCGAGATTGTCCGTCCTGATTTCTGCTATTTTGAGAGTGATATCAGGATTCTTGCTGCCTGGATACAAAAAAAACTGAGTTACGTACCAAAATATAAACAAACATGAACTCTTTCTGTCTGGATAAGCACTGTGAGCCATTATAAGAGTTATGGTCTACTGACTAAGCTACCCAACAAACATTTAACTATTCAAAAAGGATCCCTGTGGAGTTTTTGACCTCTTGTAGAACTTTGGAGCAGTTTTATTTTATCTTGTTTGTTTGCAACAATGCAGATGTAAAAGGAAAGGAAATGCATTCAACACCTTTTGTTAGGCCTTAAAATATACACACAGAGGGGTGTGAGGAACACTGAATGTAAATAAACTTTTGTTTGGTTACAGGAAACTCCACAGGGCAGCTTTAAATAAACGTGCCTGTTAAAAAATAATTTTTATCACATAAACAAAATAAAAGATAGAAAACAAAAAAGGCATCACTTCAATAGTGTAAATCAAAAGCTTTTTTAGTGTGTGTGTGTGTGTGTGTGTGTGTGTGTGTGTGTGTGTGTTTGTACCTGCGCGTGGGTATCTGTAGACATCGGTCTTACGCTCCTCTAAAGCCGGAGATGGAACGTGGATGATCTCGACCTCGGACTCGTCTACCTCCTCGTACAGAATCTGAAGAGTTTTACCGCCATCTGATTCTAAAGAGAGAGCGAGAGCAGATAAAACTATTAAAGCTGGTTTTGTTTACAGGAGAAAAACTTCTCTCAGGAACAAACTACACGTATTGTCTTTAAGTAATGTCTAAATACATTTTTGCTATTTATGCATCTAAAAATAATGAATCTTCATTTTAAAACTATTAATATTATGATTATGATGACAACTATAAGCTAAATATCTCTCTTACTCACCTTCACGAGCAGCAGGTGACCACCAGTATCCGGTGAAGCGGTCAAACTCTTCCTGTGTGACAAAAGTGGCGATACCGGCAGATTTGGTGTCCTCCTTTGGGTTATTAATACCTAAAATTATTGAGGAGAAAAATAAAAAACACTGTGGAAAAACATTCTCCAGGCACCAGGTAAGAACATCTGACCATCTCCATCCTGACCTTTATGGCAGAATGTCAGCCTCCTCTCTTCACCCGTCTCAATGCTGGTCACCCAAATGTCATTGTTGTTGATGAAACCGATGAAGTTGGGGTCCCCGGAGCAGATCTTGGGGTCCATGCGTGTGCCTGAACTCTGGCTCTTAATCTCAACAGGCTGCATAGGAGAAGTCTGCACAAACACACAGAAGAGAGGACGGAGGACATCCGAGGTCACAGCTGCTGCATACGGTCATAAACAATAAGTGAAGACTGGTATTTGGTGTTTAATACACTGCAGCTGTCCATCTCTGAATGTGAGGATTTAGAATTTTTCAAATAAACTAAAAAGGATCAAGTTTAGCTCTGTGAGTTGAGGAAATTCTTCTACTTCTTACACTAAATAAAAATTTTAAAATATATGAAAAATGCTTTAAAACAAAGCTGGAAACAGGACAATCTTTCTTGGGAAAAAAAAGTTGGATATACATTTTCACAGGATAGCAACAATCTCTTACAATGTCAATGAAGATCTTTTATTTTTGGTTATTAAAGAATTGTGACTGGAGCTGAAAACACCGAGTCAATTAGAAAACAGAAAATTTTGCAGCAACAATTTTAATCTATTTATCAAATGTATAAGTACATTTTAAAGCAAACAAATCTTAAAATGTACTGGTTCCAGCTTAAATAATGTCTTCTATGACGGTTGGTTGGACAGAAAAAGAAACATCTGAAGATGTTTCTCTGGATCTGGAAAATGATGTTAATGTATTTTGACTTTTTCTGACATTTCATGGAAAGAAACAATTAATCAATCAATCAATCAATCAAGAAAATAATCATCATATTTTTAATAAATTAAAATAATTGTGAACATTAAACAAGATATGTTCTGATTTTACAGTTAAAAAGTAAAAATTTCTGATGGACAAACTGTGCAATTATTTTTAAAATAGTATCTTTGGTATTTCTTTCTTATCGTCTACGACAATACTACCTGTGATAAGTTAATATTGTCCGATAATTCAATCAGCATTGCTCTCTTCTGTAGCTGCTATCCTCTGCAGAGTCGAGGCGGTCTGGACATAAGTTCATGATACACTGGCCAAGAAACAGAGAGCAGCCAAGTTCAAATGTATCTAATCATATTTTTACTGGAGAACTCAATAGAGGCTGAAAAGTGGGTTTAAAAAGCCAGAAATCTTCCCCTCTGACCACGTACTTAAGGCACTGGCAACCATATCACTGACAGTCTTACTTAACTGAACTTTAACTCACAATGAAGCTGTTGTTTCCACCATCACGGCAGTAGTACAGAGTGCTGTTGGCCTGGAACAGAATGAGACCACTGGGACGGTGGTAATCATAGGAGGTTATGCCAGACACCCCCAAACGTTTCCTCTCTCGCAGCAGTTCCTCCTCCCGCGAGAAGCCCCCGTGGCGAGGGCTGGCCTGAGGTCAGGGGTGACAGGAGGACACACAACGTGATAATGCTGGCCGAGTGAAGTCATAGTCAAAGAGAGTTTGTTCAGGGCATGGAGGGAAAAAAAACAAACGGTAAGAAGACATGACCATACTTAATTAAAGTGAGAGAATCGCCATGAACCGATAAACCCAGTTTGAAAACCACTGAAATAAACAGAAGATCTTCAAATTCTTTTGTTTATGAAATCAATACAACCACACTGAACATCTACCCCATGGGCTGTTTTATTTTATTGTAGCCCAAGTGGTCCAGATTATTTTGCCTTGAGGAGGTTTACAACAGTAGTTTGATGAAAAGAATGCGTCACAATCATCCTATAAAAAATTAACAGGGTTCCACTATTTAAGAAATTATTTTCCAGGGTTTTTTCTTGACATTACTGGACAGCACTGGCTCCTAAACAGTCTTATAATTCACCAGCAGGCCTTTTACTGACTCCTTTCTTAATGATGCAGGGTTCATGATGAAGTGTCTCAGGTTCATTGCAGGTAGGTGATCAGTGTTTATGGGCGTATTTGGCTGTTCTCACCATCGCAAGAGTGTTTGCTAAATATACAATTAACATAGCTGTGGATGTATTTAACAACCACAACAACATTCGATCATTAAGTTGGATGCATGTAGGTGTTTCATATACAACATCTCCAATGGGCTTCTCTGTGAATTCTGCTCGAGACAAAAATAAACCAGGCACTTAAAAGATCGCTGTACGTCAGTTTAACTTCTCATCTTGTGTGAACAGTTAAAAAAAAAAAAAAAACGATGGACATGTGAGCCAAAATGGAAAGGGAACTGTGCAGTTTATCCTACCAACAGTTGAGTTTCAAACTAATTATGCACCCAGGTTTATATAGGTGATCTAGGCGAGGAGCTAAAATACCGTACTATGAATATTTTCCATGACAACATAAAATATTTCCAGGATTTTTGGTCATTTTAGTCAAATTCTAGGTGTTTTCATGACTGGAAAAGTAGTCTCTGAATTTCCAGGTGATTCCCTGATTAAATTAAAAAGGATCAATGACATTAAAATTCCAGAGAGTGAAGGAAGAGGACTAAAGATCCTCCTCACCTTAAAGTGATCCAGCAGCTGTTTCCATGACAAAACCAACAGAGCATCTTTGCGGACCTTCTTGGGAATGTCTGAGTAGAGTAATGCATTGTCCCTGCTGGCGTAAGGCATTCCTGTAACAACAGAGAGCACAGATCAAGTCAAGCAACCCGGTCCTGAGATTTCCTGAGAAACCTGATTACTGCTACAGTGCATTTAAAACTGGTTCTGCTTCTCTTCTTCCTGTATGATGGTTGAACGCTGGTGCAAAACGGCAGCTTTAGAACAAAAACTACCTTTTGATCCTGACAACAAATCTTAACACAGATGTTTTAGTATGCAGGAAACATTTATCAAATACCACAGTACTCTAACTGTGCAGTCCACAGGAAGAAAACTACGACTATGAAACATTTCTCAGCAGCCAAAGTGAGAAATGGCAACAAAGAACGGCAGAAATTCTCTGCACTGCAGCTGCTACTGAACAAAAAAAAACGAAAGCGGGGCAAAAAAAAAAACCTGTTCCTAGTTGAGTTTCATGTTTCCTGCAGCAGACTTTGGAGATCTAGTGAGCCTGAAAACAGTTGCAGGCTGGTACCTCACCAGTCTTATACACAGATTACTCACAGAAGCATGTTACCTTTCAAAGTGACCGAAAGGAATCTGCAGGCCAACAGTGACTGTTAAAAGCCCCCTACTGAAGCTGGACTGCCTGAAAATGAACAAACTACTGAACAACCCTGTCGAGACCCAGCTCTCAGCTCACCAAGGTAGTAGATGCGGTGGGAGTGCGGACTGGCCTCGTCCTTCTGGATGAACTGGAAGTCGTGTGGCGCCTTGCTGATAACCATGCCTGTGTTCTTGCGGCTGTTGTGGATGATCTTCCGCAGGCCGTCCCATGTGTGCTTCTCCACGTGGAACTGGGTGGGATTCACATCCTCCATCTCCACCACCTCAGTGCTGTCCGAGAGCTCGTCCACCCCCATCATGCCTGCCAGTGCCTCTGTGACGCTGAGGACAGACACTGAAAGATCAGCTCAGACACACGATGGGAACTACTGTAGCTATTGTGTCAAACAGGGTCTGTGTCGGTCTGTCGGTCGATCGGTCAACCATTGTGGTCCAGACTAAAATATCTCAACAACTACTGGATGGACTTTGGTAATTGCTTAACTCATTTCCATCAGCCTCAGCTGTATGTTGTGCTAATTAGCAGGGTTGTGAACATTGTAATAATTCCCTTCTGGGCTGCTACTCATCAGTATGTACGCGTTAACTTTAGCATTTAGCTCAAAGCAACACTGTGCTTACATTACAATAATAAAAGCTAAATGGTAAATGGACTGTTTTGTAAAGTGCCTTTCTAGTCTTCTGACCACTCAAAGCGCTTTTACATTACATACTACGTTCGCCCTTTCACACACATTCACACAGTGACGGCAGAGCCCATCAAACAGAAAGTAACTCGTTCATTCACATTCACACACCGATGACGCAGCATCGGGAGCAATTTGGGGTTCAGTATCTTGCTCAAGGACACTTCGACATGCAGCAGGGAGGAGCCGGGGATCGAACCACACAACCTTCCGATTAGTGGACGACTCGCTCTACCACTGAGCCGCCCACAAATAAAAACAATTTAATATTCATTAAGCACTTTTCAAACCTGTCACAAAGTGCTTTACATGGAAAAAGATAAAACTATTCGACACAATACAGTTTAAAGAAAATCAGGCCACTGAAAGCAAATAACGTAAAAGTACAGATTTTCAGAAGTGACACTGATTCTTCAAGCCTCAGATTTTAGGTTATTTATTTACATTATTTAATACATTTCCTAATTTTTATGTATTTTCTAACATAAACAATATATTTTGGCAGCAAAAACTACAAAAAAAAACTTTGCTTTGACCCAAATTCTTAAAAAAAAACCAAACAAATATGGTTCAGACAGCTGTGAGGGTGAAGACACCATCCCATACCTTTTCTGGCCGTCTCCTGTTTTATCTTCAATTTTCAGCCTCTTTACTTTGTGCATTAACCGTTCAACGACCCTGGACCAGACCTGACACCCTGCGGGGGAAAACCAGGCAAACACATGAGACCTGAAGACGTTTGTGTCAAGATCCAAATCGTTTTACATGGCAGCACCTGATCTAACTGACAATCAAATCATTTAAACCAGATCTGTGTAGATCAGGCCCTAAGCTAAGCTCACATGGTATCAAAAGTGAAACGGTTACTAAGGTGACGGCCCCATTCAGGGCAGACATCTCTGTGCTGCTTCATCGAGGAGCTCTTCGGCCGACAAACCGCCACACTTCCAGCTGTGTGTTCCTGATATGGAGTCTCACTGAGAGTGACTCAGCCGCACGGCGCTGACGCTTCAACGTCTGTCTCATAACTGTGGCAAATGTTACACAGTCACTCCACATTTTATTGGAGGCTGTTCTGTCTCTTGGGGCCTAAATGAAGTGCAAATTCTACAGAAGTTAATTCCCAGAAAACACTGCGGCAGCTTCCTTCGTGTAAAATTTCCAAGTAGAGTGAATCATGACGCAGGAAAACAGAAAAGAGTCCAAGTCTGGAAGTTAACTTCCCCGTTTACAACCACCTTTGACCTCGATCTTCGGTCATGTGACCTCCGTCCACTGATGAAGGCTGTGAGATGATTTTAAAAGCTCCAGAAAAATCTATAAAAAGGAGAACTTGAGTTTTGAGTTTTAAATGGCTAAAACATCTGTTTGCCCCAGATTTTTACTGAATATAAAATCTATATATTTCTAAACTGTAACTGCAGTGAAATAACACGATTCCTCGGTCTGTCCATCCTGATGTCCTTTATTTTATTCTACTGTTTTGTCTCTTTTACTTTCTTTACGATATAAACAGTCTTATAAATTATGATTTAATGTGTTTAAAAGCTGTATTATAATCACTTTGGACTGACATTATGTTCACATACATAAACCCACACACGCCTGTCTTGATTTAAAATGAACATTTACTCTGGCTCTACGTAGTTACGACCATCTAGATGCTCACAGTTATTTTTTACATTTAATAGACTAAATGATGGCATTATATATCGACCATCGACAGCCCTGCTCTCTAAATATCAGGCACCGATAAACTAATATCGGTCGACCACCAAGTGAGATGCAGCAATAATTATTCTCAAATATTATATTATATTATATACATTGTGTGTAAAAATATATATATAAATAACTCAACTGGAAACAGTCTGTGCCCCACAGCTGCAGTTCTGTTCACTTTACATAAACTTTGCTGGTTTTAATTGGTTATTTTTTAACAGATTTTTGGATATTAAATCATGAACGCCTCAAATATGAAACCTCATATAAATAAGAGAAAACCTCATTTTCTACACTACCAAAAAAAATTTTAATAAATACAATATATACAAACAAAAAGGGGGGGGGCCCTTTTTGTTTGTATATATTGTATTTATTAAATTTTTTTTTTGCCAATGTTACAGAAAACAAATAGTTTGTTTCCTTTTTTACACATCAGCTCATAAAGCTAAAAATAAAAACAAAAAGGTCCACAAACAACAATAATGAAATATTAGTTTAAAGCCCCACAATAATTAATTATAATGAATAATAATGAATTATTATTAGTTTAAAGCCCCAATAATAATAAACAATAATGAATTATAACTCATAATAATGAATTATTAGTAGTTTAAAGCCCCAATAATAATAAACAATAATGAATTATAACTCATAATAATGAATTATTATTAGTTTAAAGCCCCAATAATAATAAACAATAATAAACAATAATGAATTATAACTCATTATAATGAGTTATTAGTTTAAAGCCTCAATAATAATGAACAATAATGAACAATATTGAACAATAACTCATTATAATGAGTTATTAGTTTAAAGCCTCAATAATATTGAACAATAACTCATTATAATGAGTTATTAGTTTAAAGCCTCAATAATAATAAACAATAATAAACTAATAACTCATTATAATGAGTTATTAGTTTAAAGCCTCTCTCTGTGTTCACTGCAGGTTTCTTGGAGCTAGCTCGTTAGCCGCCCATCAGACAGGAACTAGCGACTTGTTTCTGCCCACAAAAACACATTAAAACTAAATAAATAAAAACAACACTCGTCGATTGTTAGCTCACACCTTTCTGTCCAAAGACCCTGAACGCGTTTCTTCCTTGTGCCGCAGTAACGTGGCGGTGCGGGGTCGGAATTAAATGACAGAAGTCAGGTAGTTTCCAGAGAGCAGGTAGCTTAATGCTAATATGCTAACAACGCGGAAGTAGCCGGGAGGGATCGAAGATTACAACCTGTAACCCGGATGTGAACCGAACTTATTTTATTTATTTTATTTTATTTTTGTCGCTTTTTAACAGCAGGAATAATGACCCTGCTGTTCTATGGAATAATAATAATATTAATAATAATAATAATAATAAATTCATAAATCTGTTTTTTAATTTATTGATCTGCGTACTGGTGGGATTTCACTTTATTTAAACCTTTAGTTTAATCTCAGATTTAAAAAAAAAAAAAGCACCAGTGACTCCTCTCTTTGCTTTAAGGCTGCAGCAGGTGATTACTTTCATTATCGATCATTTTCTCTATGGATCAATCAATCAATCGTTTGGTCTTGAGATATGAAACAAACAGTGGAAACGTGTCCACCGCTGTCTTTGTGAGCCCACTGTGATGTTTACAAAGGTCTCGTTTTGTCGGATCAACAGTCCAGAACTCAAAGATATTTAATTTACAATATTAAAACAGAGAAAGGCAAATCTTCACATTGTAGATGCTGGAACCATCGATTTTTTTTTTTGGCATTTTTGCTCAGAAAATTACCGAAACAATTCATCAAAAAGAATATGCCAATTAACTTTCTATCAATCTAATCATGGATTAATCAACTAATTGCTCTATTAATCCATAAGCAGCTCTACTATGCGGCTTTTTCCGCCAAAACACCAAAAGCAAATACCAAATACAAACATCTGGGACAAGCACTGTATCCTTAAAACATTTATTTTTGTAATAATTTGTCCTTTTTTTTTCTTTTTGCGTAAGTGCAAAAAATGCACCCAAAAGAGCCACCTGAGGGAAGTCTACATCTTTAAATAAAAAAACAAGCAAAGTGTACATTTATAGTACAAAATTCTCTTTTTAAAAAATTGCACAGTTTGTGTATAATATATATTCATAATCTCCATTTTAAACAAACTTTAAAGGCTCAGAAAGTAAACAAAATTCACCAAATGAAAAATAAAAACATTTTTTTCCCTAGAATTTAAAGCTGAGGAAACTTGAGACCCTGTTTTCATTTGTGTCCACCATAAATATACATATTTATATCCAAGTCTCTTTACATATAGTCTCTGTGCTAGTGTTTGACCAGACAATCAAAATTATTGCAAAGTAGTTTAGTTCTACTATAAAACATGGGGTGGAGGGGTGGGGGATAAAAGCTTCTTTCGGCTGAATGTTCCTTAAGTTATGCAAAATAAAAAACAACAACAAAAAAAAAAAAACCCTGGGTTTCTTTACACCCCATTTGAATTTACTGGAATCCCTGCTTTCACAAAGGTTTCTGTTTCACAAACTGTGTGCATTCAACATTCCCATAGAACAATCCAGAACTCCAGTTTTGCTTTTTAGCGAGAACACACATTTTCCCTGACTTCTTTTTTTTGTTTGTTTTTGTTTTTTTGTTTTTTGAACTTTACACAGCAGCCCTGCCCAGAGGTGGCGGTCAGCGTCGATACGGGTGGAAGCCCTGTACGTTGTGGTTCTGCCCTCTGCCGAATGCACTGGCGGCAGGCTGGGGGGCGGCGGTGGGCTGTGCTGTCGGGGCCCCGTACGAGGCCGTCGGCTGGCTGGGGTCTGCGAAGCTGTGGCCGAAGGCTGTCAGGTCCTGCCCGTACCCTGAGGAGGACGACAGACAGCACAGAGACAGGAGGATTTTAATGCCTTTAATGGGTCCCCAGGCGGTGTTCAGGGAGAAACCTTACTGCTTTAAAAGTAAAAGTGTTTCCACAATTTTAATGTTGAGGAAAAATCCACCCTTTACCCTTCACACAGACTTTATACTCGTCTTGTTATTTTCCTTTTTGGTGAACAACTGTTCTGTTAAACTACTGCAGGAAGTATTGGTACGTCACATCAAAATTATTATTGTATTATTATTATCCAATTTTACCATTTTGTCCACTGCATCTACTTTATAAACAGCCCATGATTTTCTTCCTGATAACCAGTTGATACGTTTAACAGACTTATAGGTTTTTACTTTCTGTAATTAAACAGATAGTTTTATATATAATCTTTTTATTGTTTGTTTGTCTGGAAAGAAAAGTAAAGTAAAAGTAAAGTAAATCAACCAAGAAATGAAATGTGCATTTCCTAATAGCGTGTTTTAAAAGTTTAAAGGTTCATGGTGGATTTTTCCTCTAGATTCAAACACTGTGTTCCTTCAATGAGCCATTTAGTGTTGAAAATTATTGCGTAACAATGTTAAAATGTATCGAGACCAAAAACGACAATTTCAGGTGAATTTAATAATAATTTAAAATGGGCTTCATTGAGGAAAACAATCTCTAGATTCTCTTGATCAGTGCAACACGCACAATGTTCCTCTATTCAGCCACTGGGTGGCACCATCTCCCTGCAAACAGACACAGGAACCAAAGTGACACCCAGGGATGGAAACATATCTGCCCGAAAAAATGGCTGCTGCTGCCCAAAATCCAGCAGCCACTGACCATGAACTGAGTGGTTTGGTACCAAATAGCTGGTAGAATAAGAAAACCAGTTGCAGCCAAATCTTCCCAGCATCTTGCTGGTAAACATCCAGTTAGCACTGATTTTTTGAAAATGTCACGAATAAATAACTGGAGTGGGGAACGTTATATAAATAAAATGGAAAGACGAGAGATAGAAAGACAGAAAGAAAGAAAAAAAAAGGGTGAAAAGTTAGAAAATACAACACATTTCTTTTGGGGTTCTCAAAGTGCTCCATGAACGGAACAAAAATAAGTCTGAAGAACAGGGAGCGGCCCCAACAGGACCGCCCAGCAGAAGAATCTGAGAGAAATTGAGAATTTACTGGCATCGTGTCCTTCTTTAAATCTTCTTTCCTTTCTCACCCCTTTAGCTATAATGTGGAGACAATACATGGGGAAAAAAACAACGGGTGAATGGACTGCTGATGCATAGAGACAACTGAACCATGAACACATTTTCTGACAATTAGATCATCCTTTTTATAATCAGCAAAGCAATGCGGACAGAGAGTGGACGGGAAAAAAAAAAGGAGGACATGGTTAGCCTTGGTATAGTAAAGCTACAGCCGCTGAGGGAGATGACATGCTTAGAAGCTCCAGATGTCAAATTTAAATGTAAATTTCATTCAAATCCACGCGGCTGTGTGAAAGTCAACGGCTGTCTTTTACCATATAAGGATACACACAGTAATTTGTATGTACATGCAAAATGTACATGCAAAATACGAAACACAAAGCAAAAAGAAAAGAGGAAAAGAACCAGGTTGCAGCTCTATAAACACTACAGTACTGAACAAATGCTACTTTTTGTGGTTGGAGAAGACAATGCTGGCACCTACCTGCACTATATCCTCCCTGCTCATCCTGACCATAACTGTGAGAAGGACGCGTTGGTCCGTAGGCAGAGGGGTCCTGAGGGTAGTTACCCAAGCCTATCAGGGAGATGAGGAGACCAGGTTGACTGAACCCAGATACTGCTGGCCGACTACTTTACATAGTTTCCCCCCTTACTGAGCTAATATAGCTGCACATATACACTCATTTACTGCGTCTGCACTATGCTCGGAGAGGCATCACTGCTCAGCTTCATCTGGAAGTCAAAACAAAATGGAGTGAGAGTGTGTGAGCTATCCGCTAGCACACCTGACTTTTTTTTAAAAATCATGCCAGCCTGGTCTCGTGATATTTTGTGAAATGTGCATGATATGCTACGATGCAAGTCACGTGAGGAAGAGGTTTTCCTACCAAGAACATATTATGAGAAGGAAGCAACCGAAAAACAGGAACTAGAACAACCACACCAGTGGTTTTGCATGTTTCATTCATAAATTTGGCTCGTACATACGTCCAAACATTTTCCAAAAGGCCATTCAGTTTCTACTCATCTCTTCTCAATGTAGTTTCTACATTGATTTCCTGTCTTCCAAGTCGCTATTTGGTCTCCATTAATTTCAGCATGATGTGACATTGAACTTGAAAACCACTTGATATTATCTTCACGTCACATCAGGTTATTGTTTCGTGTACTCCAGATGTAAGTGCTGATTATTTGAAACTTTAGGTTCACAGCCCCAGTTCTTGTGCTGAGAGAACTCTCTTTGCTCGGTCATTCAAGGACATTTTTAACATCCTACATTTTGCCGTATATTAACGTCTATTGTTAAAAAAAAACTGAATCCATAAATCCAACATGGACATAACATTACATGGACCTCTGCCAAGGCCAACAGTCCAGTCCTCTATGATACACAAATCTTTAAGAGCAACACTTTATCTGTCTGGATTAATATCGACCTATCACGCAATGTTAATGAAAGTGAAATATATAGTATGTGTATCCAGCCGTGATCCGGATGTCACACCCTTCCACCAAGTTTCATTCAAAATGTCTGTAATCCTGCTGACAAACAAACGGCACCGAAAACATCCTTGGCGGAGGTAATGAGTTTAACTTCAGCAGTCAGTTCTCACATTTCAGACGTCAAAGTGTTCTTGAATGCACCAAGAAAGAGTTTTGACAGAAAAAAAGTAAACAAAACGTTTACTGTGATGAATAAAGCTTCACAGTGTACTGTAATAAAAGTAAAGCCAGTGGCTGCCTGGAGGGGTCAAATCAATAAAAATATATGGGATGCATTAGAAAAATGACTGGCATTTAATTAAACATGCAAAACTACTAGTTTGACCTTCGCTCTCACCACATTATTTTAACTCCCTAACTCCACATAAGCCTTAACTTAACCTTAACTGAAACCAAACTTGCTTTATTTGTCTAACCTCAACCATTTACTAACCTTACACGGGTCAAACAGTCCAGTTCCTGCTACTGTCACATACACTTTCATAGGGGAGGTGTGTGATTTGTGTCATCAATACCACCACCACCACCACCACCATCATCATCATCAGCGTCTCCGATTTATCTGCTCATTTCACAAAGACCTCGATTACTGGACTGAGTGCCTGGAGAGGCAGCGGACACTAAATGCAAAAAAGCTGGATGGAAGATAAGCATAAGCAGGAAACACTGAACAAGATGAACACCTGCCATGACTGACAGCAATCACATGACTGAATTTAAAGGTCCAGTGTGTAACATTTAGGAGGATCTACTGGCAGAAACTGAATATATCTATATATATCTATGAATATAGGAACTGTTGTTTCCTTAGAATGATTAGTTTATATCTACAGACCAAGTGGGTCCTCTTTCTCTTAGGCCGCCATGTTTCTACGGTAAACCCAGACAGGACAAACCAAACACGGGCTCCAGATAAGGCCTTTTGAGTATTTCAAAAGTTTCACAGCCACGGTTTTTTCTCCTACACGCCAGGAAGGCAGAGCTGTATTCAAATGGTTGCAATCTGTAACTTCACTGCTAGATGCCACTAAATCCTACACACTGGTCCTTTAAATGTAGATCCAGCAGTGTGAAGCAGCTGTAAGCCAAGTCAGAGGAAAAATACCAGCCAGCCAAAAAAAAACAAAAACTGAATGTAGCTTCTGAATGAACATCTGACTCTTATCCGACTGTGTGCTTATGTGACTGAATGGGCGAGTGTTCAATGAAGACTGAGCTGGTTCCTTTTCCGTGGATGCTGGTTAGTTTTCACAGTATCTCGGTCTTCATTTTGGTTCAGAGCTGAAAAACCTCCTGCCTCCATTTGTGCTCTAAGCATGATCTCAAACCCGTAATCCTGCATGAGTATACAGTACGTCACTGGAGAAGCTACACCCTAACATGGCAGGCTTGATGAAATGTCTTACTGTTCCTACACACTGGCTGAAACCTGGCCAAACACAGTTCAAAAGGTAATGTTAGACTAGACTAACAGTCCAGCTCAAAGACCACAAAGACACCCACCAGGAGGTAAAACCTACACACACATTAGTCAAAACAACTCTTAACTACTATCTGCATGTATTTACAAGCCAGAGGGGCAAAGTTCACATTTTGTGGACAAGCATGCAAAGCTCCGGAGTGAGATTGATTGGACACTGATGGACATGTTGAGAATTTCTGATAGGTGGCTTGGCAGGTTGGACATGCCTAATTCCAGAAATAGGGTTTTCATGGGCATAATATTGTCATGCTGGTGCTCTTCTATGGCGATCTTGCCAAGACCAGGAAAAGAAGCCAGCACAGTCATCAACAGGGAGTAAGAGGAGGAGGTGTAGGAGGGAGTAATTAGAAGGGAGGAATATTTGAAGTCAAATGTCTAGTACAGTCTGTCAGGAGAAGGTTGCACTCCCTCGAAAATCAAAACAAATAAAATGCAAAACAAACAAAGAAAAAAAAAAAACATTGCATGGCAGGATGATCTAATTCAAACCCACCAAGACCTACCAATCTTTTTACCAATCCACAGCTCAGCTGGAAAAACTTGACAGAAATTACTGCTGAAGACTCCTGGATATGGTGAAACTTCAGCAGCATCTTCATAGTGGAGCCAGAGGGGGTTCATGTATGCAAGAAGCATGTATGCATGTGTAGCTGTTCAAGCTAAATGGTAGCAAGAGCAAGCTCCTGCTTGTCTACGGGTTGTAGATATGCACTTAAATGAGCTGTAGTTTGCATCCAGTAAAATATCCAAGGAGATGGGCAGGGCCGAGGGGTGAGTAAAAAAGTAAATGGGAGAGACAAGGGCAGCAAATTGCTAAATGCACAATGTTTTTCTTACCATACTGGCTATAAGGGAAGTCAGGCTGCCCAGTAGGAGCTTTGCTCAAGTCCTGAGTTGGTGTGGTGGCGGGGGCAAAGCCCAGAGGTGCAGTTCCTGGAGTTGTGGGCGGAGGAGGAACCTGTGGAGCATACTGGTCTGCTTGGGGTGTGCCGAAACTGTAACCTGTTGGAGAGTAATACGATAATTTCTATGACTTTCCCCTAAAGATCATTTCCTAGTGGTGATTTATCACAGATGGTTTACTGTGTATGAGTACAAAGGCCTGAGCCAGTGTTAGTGTTCCTGAGTAAAACACAAAATATCTTCCACAAGTTTGACTTCAGTCTTCAGTTGCATTTTGAATGTAAATAAACACCACTATTAAAAGGTATTAATCAATTTCTTCACCAAGTCTTTCCTCGGTTTAGGCTGTAAAAACACAGGTTGTATGAGCCATGTCTTTTAAATATCAGCTGCCAGATCACACTGTGACCATTCTGCCAACACACAACCAATGTTTCAGGCTTCTTTCCCACTCCCCATATTTTGCTATCTACTAAGAGGTTTAATAAGTGGAAGGTAATAATAATTTCCCCTACAGGCTTTTTAGCAACATATCATGAAATGCTGGGTATCTATAAGTCATGCTGTCCATGTCTGATAAGGTGGAGGTTCCTCCCTGACCACAGTAACAGCAAAGCTGCCTGGAAAACCTGACATAGTTAATACATTTTACACAAGTTTAAATAATGTTTCTTATAAATTGTTTACAGTGTTGATGAGTTTGTGAGGATTTGGCGCTCTGAAGAAGGGAACTTCTAGAGATAAAAATGTGAACTACAAATACAATTAGACATTCAGTGCTTCTTTTACATATGCTTCATTACCTGTAAGCACTTTGTAGTGATGTAAACAAAACACCAAAGTGTAATGAGTGAGTGTTTAAGTATTACTGACCAAACTGAGGTGCTGTGCTGTAGCCCTGCTGAGGGTAGCCCTGAGGTGCAGCAAAGCCGCCCGCCGGGGTCGTGACCAGGAATGCGTTGAAAGGTGACGGAGGTTGTGTGGGGGTTCCACGACCTGCCGATAACGGAGGTCCATACCCGCCTGCTCCAACACAGAATAGATCTATTTTATAGAAATGTTGTGACATAAATATATGCATGTTTTTATATAAACAAACAAAACTTGAATTAAGTTCACAGGCCAGTGTAAAAACTAACAACATATCTTAATAAAAGTAGAAGTAAGTTAACGTAAATGAATTCCTTGAATTAAACCCAACTCAAACTTTAGTAAAAGACAACTGAGTAAATCCATAAGTGCTAAAATTTGTACAAAGAAGTAGTCTTACTGTATTACAATAAATTGAAACATGTTTGGAAAAATGCTGTATATGAGTGTAATATACTTACTAGTTTAATTAACTGAATGTAATTGGTAAAACCTAATTTACCCAAGTCACCTTGAAAATAAATACTTGAGTAACTTGTACTAGAATCAAACAATTAAACAAGTTGAACTAACTCATCAGGTTTTACATTTCGAATTATAAAAAGACGACAATGATGTACTGTATCTGAATTGCATCAGTTTGAATCTGTTATGCTCTTATTGAATAGCAGAATAACACATATAAAGTTGATAAAAACATGGTTTTGCAGAACACAGTCTGAGGCTGAATGAAACTGAGTGAGCCGGGCCGACGCTGCAGTTAGCATTGCAGGTTGACCCGGAGGTGGTGATATGAAACCGAGCCTGACCAATACCAGGGGGAGGCTGGAATCTATTCAAGGCTGCCATCTGTCTCAAGCAGCAAATTATCAGCAGCCTCAGCCATTATGAATCAGTGATAACACGTGCTGTTAACTGTCATCAGGCTATTGGCCACACAGAGTGCAAACCCATTTCTGTGACACAAACGCTTTAAGATAAGCACACGATCACATGGCAAAGACACAAAATCTATCCGCAGTTTTATCAATTCACAGTTATGCAACAAGCAGAAATAAAAACCCAACTAATTCACTAAAATGGAAAGAAAAGATATTTTCTGTGTGTTGTCAAGTGGAGGTCAAACACCTACCTATGGGTTGGCCGGTAGTCGACACCCACACTCCTTCAGGAAGAGGGAAAAAATAAAAAAAACTTTAGACTGGAGACAAAACTGTTGCCAGAAATGTAAAATGTTCACAGAATCTAGTTTAACGTTCAACTGAGAGTGCGAGCGCTGACCTACATGCACAAGGTTATTGCTAAAGCAGTGGGTTTAACACATTTAAACAGTTACTACTATGCCGTCCTCCAAGCAGCAAGCCTCACTCGCTTCAGCTCCGGGACCTTTTCCCACTCACCCTGTGGCCCATAAGGCTGTTGCCAGCCCTGGGCAGGCTGTGTTGTCCAACCATTAGCTGCACTCAAGATGCCCCTGGGTGCCCACTGGCCAGGGCCAAGCTGGCCAGGAGCTTTGCTGTCGCGTGGTTCAGCCTTCTTCACTTCCACCTGGACAAAGGGACAAGGAGGGCACATTTGGCAACACCAGTATAAGGTCCATGAAGTCCCTCACCTAGGCAGAGCTGTCCTACCGCTGATAATTTAATCTCAACATTTTGGGCCAGTTTGAAAATCTTTCACTTTATGTTTATTAGAATAATGAGGGGCAACTATGTTAATTAATATTACTGTGTAGACAGGAGAGCCGTACAGCTATGTGTCTCAGGTACTAAATATAAGCAGAAAGAAAATCATAATGAAAAGAATATAGATACAGTGTTTTTGGAAACGCATCATCTCCAGATCACAGCCTCTTAAAAATGTACCTGAGAAACATAGATTTTTTTTTTTTTTTTTGCCCTATATATGATAAAGACATCTAATGGAAGGTCATGACTTACCTTTCTCCATCTAACGCTTATAAAGAATCTCATTTTAATTTATTTGGAATAAGTTTTAGGGGGATAAATGGATGTAGAGAGAAATCTCGGTTCTAACAGAATATATAACGGTAAACATGCAGATAGTACAAATAAACAGTCTTTTCAGTCAATCTAAAATTGAATCTTCATACTGTGTCAGACGTGAGAAAAGATTTTTTTCAATTGAGCACAAGTGACTGATACACAAAGTAACCTCAAGTTTATTTTTGCTGATTCAATTAAAATATAATAATTTAACTTTATCCAACCATTACATTACTTAAATTTGACTTTTACATATAGTTATCATCCAGTTTAATGCCTTGGGTCAAATACATTTATTGCCCCAAAAACAAAAACTTCCCTTCCTGTAACTAGGCAAAGCTACCAGCAGTTAACCAGAGCAAGGAAACAGGCTGAGACTAAGGGGGAGCCAACCAGAAATAGACTGAGGGGTTGAGTTATTGGGGTCACCTTGCAGGAGGAAAACGAATCACAAATTCCTCCCAGCTTTAAGGTGTTGCCACCTTCCCCAGCCTCCCCTCTTCCTTCTCTGTCGACCTAATTACATGCACATGTTTCCGGCAGTGGCCTCGCCGCCGCCGGCAGCTACCTGAGCACTTTCTCCCGTGGGCATCACAGCTACGAGTGATGGATACCATGACTTCTGTACAGTCCCCAACAGCAGAACTGGGATTTGTTCCACAGTTTGATGTGCTCCAATTTCTAATTTTGTAACTCATATCTCCCAGCCTCCCTCAAGTCCCAGCGTAAGGTAATGTCAAGTCAAGAACAATGGATTAAGTTGAGCCTTGATTCCTGCTGGAAACCAGGGCAAAGTCAAGGGGGGCGGGTACCTCTGGAGAGCACACAGGTTGGGCTGAATCATTTACCAAGGAAATGGGATTCGGATAATCTTTTTAATGCAATAATCGGTGACATTTCAATAAAAATGTCTCCTGTTGTTACTCAATATTATTGATTAGCGTGATAAAAATCGGTCTGGTTCAGGAAAGCTTTTTACAAAACAACAGTCTGGTAGCTTTCCTCTGGGAAAAATATTAATTGGTACACATGTAAGTAATGCTTTTCGTTTATAGTATAGCTTACAACAAACCCTCTGGGGGTCAGGTGGTTTGAGCTGGTGATGAACTGCAACGTGTCAGGTTCAACTCCAACCAGGGACCTTTGTCATTCCCCATCTCTCTCTGTCATCTCTCTACAGATCACTCCCAAATAAAAAGGAACAAAGGACCCCGAAAAAATTACTTTTTTCAGGCTTCATCAAGACGGAAATCCCCAAAAGACACTCAAGTTCTGCTCTCACTATTCTTGCAAGTGCAGAAACGCCACAATTATTAGCACTTTTCAGTAAAAATGGATGCTGCTTTGATGTCAATAAGAGATTAAATAATGCCATGTAAAGATCAGGACTAGAAAGAAGACACATGTAATGATATGATAAGACTGAGTGTTTGACTTTGATCATTTTCTTATGCCCACAAATCATTACTGTCAGCACGGAGGGCAGAAAGGAGACTGTCTGTCCTCTGGTTTAAAAGCTGCTAATTACAAAATGTCTTTTGGGGGAAAACGGGGGGAGGTAGTTAATGAATTAGAGCTTTAAAAAATGCATTTTAACCCAAGTGTCAGGCCCAATCCTAACCAGAAGTACCAAGTAGCACTTTATTTTACTACAGGACTACCAAATTTTCTAATGGTTTGTTTCACTCAGCTGAGGTGCCAGGTGGGTGGTGTTTGCCACATGCAACAGAATAAAAGAAGGAATGCCAGAAGGTTAGGAGGTGTGCTTGAATATACAAAACACCAGTGAATTTATTGTTTCTTCCCGGATGGACAGCTTACCTGACACTATCTGAATTGTCTTTGTGCAGTAAACCCCATCCATCTGGTGCACACACTGAGATAAAACAAACACTAAAAAGTGACATGCAAATATTATTGTTAAGACTCGTGTCTCATCCTAAGCAGCATTTTAGAGAGAGCTGCCATTTGTTATTTAGAGAACTGACAGACACAGTATGGAGATTCTTCAACTGAGGTCACTGAGTTGAGCTTTTTCTTTAACTTTTCAAAAAGAAAAAAGAAAACATGTTGACGTGTAAGTGACCTGCCAACAAAATATCAGAAAACAAAAGAAACAGAACTGATTGGACCAATCCTTTAGGTGATTTAAAGTCACTGAAATTCTTTGAGCTTTGAAGTCTTAACTTTAGAGTTTCTTTTGGTTCTGCAAGAAAAACAGAAAATAATGTATTTTTTTAATATTTTAAGTACAATCTAATTTGTTAAGACATCCTAAAGGAGTGGTCAATTTAAACAAAGCCTTGGGCGACAATAGAAACTGTAATATAACAGCGTTTGTGAAGGCTCATTGTGCCTTTGGAAACTATAAGACATAGCTTTAAGTGCAAGGGTAGTCTCTGTTTGGATCAATATTAATAAATAATAACAGGATGAGTTAATTAATTTAGTGGCCTAATCATTTTAAGATGTTAAGGGCTAACTTTGTGCTATATGATGCTACAGGCACTAATGGGAAGCCACTGGAAAATGAGCTCTGAGAAATAACACAGCATCATAGTTTAACTGTCTGTCGCCCAAGCCTCTGTTTGATCTTAAGGGTAAAATAAAACTACAACTACACACTTTTTTGCCCATGATGTCGTGAAAATGCATGTTGACAGCCTGGTCCACTGATTGTTCGGCCTCGAAAGTAATAAATCCAAAACCTAGCCAACGACCAAGAGTGAATCAAGGTAGCAGGGGGGTTGTGACAACACAAGATGAAGAACAGTATTGGGCTTCAGCAGAGTGAGGATCCGTCAAGACTGAGCAAGAGGCTCCTGGGGTTCGGATGATGTCGCAGACTCGTAGAACAACACAAATCCAAGACTAAAAGCCTGGGGGATTGAAGGAAACTTTTCTCTTTACTGTGCAGTGAAATATTTTGTGAATGTAACAACACATGACTTCTTAACTGCTAAACATGAAGACTGATGAGTGCAGCATTTGATTTTAATGTGAAATGTCACAGAAGAAAAGTCAATTAAGTCCATCTTTCAACCCCACTAATGTTGATAAATGCCAATTGGACAAATACTACATTTTGTTACTTCATGCCGTTTCATCCAAACCCCACCTTGATCTGTCCCTTGGTATATTGCTGTGGAGCACACACTCGCAGCAGCCATTGTTAATGCATCACAAAAATATGGAGAAACACAAACTGTAGAATGCCTAAAGCTTTCTCCAAGCTTTCCCAAATTCAGTATTTTACTTTTGAGTCAGCCAGGATAAGCCTAAAATGGACAATTAAAATATTGCTCACAACGGTAACACAAAGATATAGGCCAGAACTGGTTTCCCAAAGCGGCGAGTTGCTGATTTTGATCGAGTTTTCATGGGGGATACACAAAGTTGATCAACAAGAGTGCAAAAACTCTCTATAGAACTTTTTGGTCCGACGTTTTGGCCACGCCGACCGCTCAGTAAACCTTTTCATCTATAGACTATCTGGAACAGAACTTTTGAGAGCGTCAGCAGCCCGTACCGCGTTGCAGTGATCTACTTTCAATTTGATTAACTTTCCGCTGTGGCAGAATTGGGTTGTGTGCACAACTCTACTTGGGGACCTAACCTGAATCCAATTAAACGTCCTACGAGACAACTGAGATTTTAGAGACCTCTAGTACCCATGCCAACCGTTCCCCAAGCCTCATGATCTATTGCTAATAATAACATCTGTCAATGACCCGTCCTTAATCTAAATTTACAACCAAAATTGACACATTAAATAGTTTGACATATCCTGGTTACGGTGACGTGGTTACACTCAAGTTGAAATCTGAAAGACTTTTTATTTAAATCAACTGATGATGAAACAAATTATTAAAAAATGTTGGACATAAAACTGGGATCATTCACAGATCTGCAACAACTATTTGATAACCCATCAGTCAATTAACAGGAAAATTAATCTACAACAATTTTGATAATAAAATAAATGTCACTGAATCGATAATGAAAATGTTTGTTGCACCTCTAATCATTTATTCTCTCTATAAGGATGTTCTTGGAAATTATCTGATTACAGTATTTAACTCTTGTAAGACACTAAACAAGCACTGACTGATGTCTATTTTTGAGATAAAGGTCTGATATATTCTGATATTGTCTGTCAACATCATCCTCCAACTAAACTTCCTACTTTAAAAAAAATAACAATCATCTCATCAGGTGTCTATTTTCCATCAAACACAAGAACTAAAATTAAAATTGCTGCGTAACCTGGAGATAAAATCCTCAAACAAACTCTCTCTCTTCAGTAACCGAGAACAGGTAAACCTTCAGCCTATTTCACAATTTAATGTAACTTTGTCTACACCCCATTCTGACCAAGTAATAAATTTGGGTGCTTTTACATTTGGCCTGTACCTCTGTGCTACCAGTCAATGCACAGTAACCTAAAGGAGAAAAGACAAATCTTAAGAGACACCGTTAATCACATTCAAACCATTCACAAGGAGAAGGGGGACAGAAGAAAGAAAAATAGAAAAGGGCTTACTTACAAAAATACTTAACTTTCTACATATGGGAAAACACATACTATGCCATTTAAGATACATGTATCAGTTACGTCTAAATCAAGGTAAAGAAAACTTATTCCAACGTTGAAAGTCTAACGGTTTTAGTAAAAGAAACTGATTATACTATTAAAGATTATGTAATGGTTGTTACTGGTACAATACATCATGTTAAATTCCAATGACAAACTATTCTGGGTTTCTCCCAATAGAGAATGAATGGGGGTTTTGAAGGAGGAGCAGTTATAATACATGTTGTGGGTCAGTGGCCGCTGCATCGTTGCTATGTAGGACGAATGCAGATGAAACAGCTGTGACTGTAACTCAGCAGGCAGAGTCTGACACCAACACTGCCGGTGGCGTGGGGTCTGATTCCCAGTGAGGCCATCCATGCTAAAAGTGTCAGGGCATGTCATAAACTCGTGACACATTCATGATTAAACTGACTTTCTTATATTTTTAAAAAGGTCCACCAATTTCTTCTGTGAGGAAATAGGTTAGAGAGACTTTTTGAAATCGCAAAAGGAAATATAAAAACCTTGTTAAATGATCCCATTGTTCTAGTGATAACAATGTAATGTTCACCTTCAGTGTTTGGGCAGAAAGCAGCTTCTTTGAAGGACAAATCCTCCCTTAGACACTCAAACTGTGCTCAATATGCCAGTTGCATGTTGTGATAAAGCACTGTACTTTTTGGAGCACCTACTTTCCTACAATCCGTCTTCTCTCCTTCAGTTCCTTTGTCTCCCACGACACGTTTTTCACAAACTTTCTAATCAGATGCATGAACCTCTTGTATCTAATACGTTTTTATGGAGATACCTTCTAGTAGAGAAAAGGTTTAAGCGTTACACTCAAAAATAAAATAATAAACATGATACATCTTGTAGTTGTATTGCATTCTGCTTTACTTTACAACTGTGGGGACAAACGGGCATCCCTACTTCTTTTCTTTTTTATCTCTGATGTTGTAAATCAGTGGTTCCCAACCTTTTTCCTTAAAGCACACCTAAAGTAGTAAACTGACAATCCCTGAATAAGTGACATTTTATGGCTATTTCATATTATATTCAATACATATAATAGTGAACAACAACTTAAGTGAGTTTGGGTTAAATAAGCCTTTTGGATTCATTGTGAGCAGACAATTTCCTGATATTCAGAGGGCCTTTTTATACAATTCTTTTGTTTTTTCATACATAATTAATATGCTTCTTTTTTGACAAATTCAGTGTTTTCTTCTCCCTGACACTTGGCCATTGTTCTAGTAGCACTTTGGTTATTTTAACCGCTTACTTTTCTAATGCAGAACGAGGCTGTTTAGCAGAGTGTGAAAGCTTGATGAATTATAGCTTGTCTCAGGTCTTCAAAGTCCTTGATCTTGAATAACAATCTTAAATTTAAAAATCATTTCATTTTAGTGTCACAGAAAAGAATGAACTGCTGAGATAAAAACCTTCTGTATATATTTTCTTTAAGTTTTCTTACACCCCTTAAAATCAAGAAAGCCTCACAACCCCCCCTGTGAAGCTTTGGTGACCCCTAATGCGGGTAGGGAACCACCGATTTAAATAACTTACACTGGACACATGTTAGGAAGGGAAGTCTTATGAACAGGAGGGATGATTTACGCCAATGTTCATATGGGCACTACTACTGACTATTGTTTTAAAGACATCAGATATCAGTGGACTTTAATCTACAAATTCATACATCCTCAAAAAAACCTGAATGTTTCACTGAGCTGTTTGAATCTTCCTCTGAGGCTTTATAACATTTATGAGGACCCTCTGTGCACCGCTAGTTGGGACACCACCCCAACAATAACATAACCCATGTATAAAGTCCAGGGTTCTCTTAAAGATGACCATTTCTACTATTTCCACCCCGATGAAGACCTTGTAAGGTCGAAACTAATCCGTGTTTTAACCAATATTCTTGACTAAAGGCTTTTAACGTAGCTTCTCTCTTTGCTCTTTTCTGAAAACAATGTATTTAACAGACTCATGTTGTCGCACAAGGTCATTAAGGACACTGCATCAGTCCAAATCAGAGCCTGCGATTTAACAATTTTCAGGTTTCTAGCCTGTGACAAAGGCTGAGACGTGGTTTTAAAAAGGTGCCATCTACTGTTGTATTATGTGACAGAATTATTTGCAACATTGCACAAATTCATAACCATCACAAACTGAAGGTGTTTAAAGTATTTCATGGATTTCACAGGAGACCAGTGTATTTCACATCACACTAAGCTTTTCATTCCACCCCTAGAAATGTCAAGTTACATTTTCCATGTTATACACGCTGTGGTGAGTCGGTATCTAAGCTTTTATTTAACGTGCTTTTGTGTGTTTTATTGTGCGTTTTTAATCATACACGAAATTCCGGTTCTGGGTGACAAGTGTTTAAATTGAATTGAATATGTGGGGCTGAATGGGCTTTTTTTTTTTTTCTCTTTGGGCCAGAATAGTTTGTCATGAGATTTAAGATGGTAAGGTATGGAGAGGGGAGAGAAAAAACGGGATCAGCTTTTACCTCGGGGCCTCTGCTTCTCCGCATCATAGATCATTACCACCTCTGTGACCTTGAATGGGACAAAGGGAAACAGTGGCTCCATTTAGAAAACCAGACAGGGTCCGTTCTTAGTCCAATTAAATATTCTGCCTCAATTTGGACAAATAATTAATTGTCCTATCCCATCCCTGTAAATTTAAATTCTTATTGTAGTATTGACCCTGTTCAATGTCACATCCATTCAAGCAGTCTTAATGACGATATGAACTGACTTGCATTATGCACATGGTAATACTCACCACTCCGAATCTATTGAAATAGTCCCTGAGTTCAGGCTCGCCGCAGTTATGGGGGATTCCACCTACAAATATCTTCTTTGATTTATTGCTATCGGCTTTGCTGCCCTTCTGAAAGAAAACAGGGAGTGTATGGATTTCAATGTCTGTTAAAGGATCACTCTGGGATGGGGCCAGCTAGCCATCATCTATTCAGACAGTGCAGAAGAAATTAGGTTCTCCTCTTGCCCTGGGGTATAATTCTTAACATGTCATGTCAATGCAAACACTAGTCTCCACAGATCAGAGAGCACGGCTTCCTCCACTCACTCTCAACCACTAAGCATTTCACCATTGCTGTGCACTGCACTCATGCTGTAAAAGGCTGGAGGCTGCTTACGACAATAATGATTTTACACAATTACATCTTCTGCTTTGTTAGTAAAACATTCAGTTGCAGCTACAAGACTTAAATTCAGTGAAAGGAGTTCCAGTGCCAGGGAAAGAGCCTCATTTATAAAAGCTTCTGACTTACAACCTAAGCTTGTAGCCAAATATGTGACTTATGAAATTGTTTTACTGACAGCAAAGGTGCAATAACTAAAATCTTTGCTGCCCAAAGGGACAACATGTCTATAATAGATCTGCAGTGGCTAGATAGCATTGTTGATCAGCCCACAAATTACCCAAGTTGGTGCAGAGTTTCCTGCCTTTCAAAAAAAGAAAGAAAAGAAGCAATTTTCTGCACCACACCAGTCTACTAGTCTCTAAACCTACTTGTGTTTTCTCATCCTTATTCAGTGAGCAAGAGCATTTTAAAAACAACAAATTTCTAAATATCAAAAAAAGAAAGAAAACTGTTCATAAACGGATCATAAAAGTGTTATCATAATTACAATATTTAGCATGGTGATACAGGCTTATGACCTCTTTGTGAGTCATTTCTGTTACATTTGGGAAAATGTGACCTTATTATGAGTCAATTCCAGTAAACTGCACCAGATATCTGCTGATATTGCTGCAGCCCCTTGATCACAAATAAAGGTCAACACAAGCCTAAGATTCTTTAATGCTTCTGTGATTTATCAAAACCCCAAAGTAATTTCTAGCCTTCTCAAATGTATGAAGGCTGCACACTGTGGTCATTTCTTTGATGAAAAGAAAGAGATTTAGGTCAAAGTCAGAGTGTTTTTATAAATGAAGCTCAAGGTCTCGTCATAACCCGTGAAAAAGAAACTAGAGTCCAACCTCAGGAGGAGGGTATGGAGAGACTGACGGCCTAAAAACACCTAGCCTAGCCTCCCCAGCAGAAATCAGAGTCCTCTTACCCAGCCCTCCTTGGTTCGAGACTTTTCAGGTTGCATTCCTCGGGGGGTGCATGGCTTCGGGTCAATCTGACAGCAGACAGAGAGAACACGTTTGACATTAGCACCAATTAAAAAAGGCACCTTCAAATGTTCTTCTTCACTGAATCCATTACGGTGTATTGGCTCGCGTCACACAACAGTGCAACATATGTACTGACACATAATTTACATATGTAGCCAATGAAATGTTATTCCCTTCTCCGCCTCCATTAACAGAACAAAGGAGGCAATATGTCATTCATAGGGAGCTGACTGTAGCCATCTTAGAGAACCCCGGGTTAAACCGCCAGTTTAGCTAATTTGACTTTAAACAGGTAAGTCTTGTTAAGCAAACAAATGTCAGGTCTTTGCAAAAAAAAGCATCCTATGTACTAATGTCTGCGAGCAGGAACAACCTAAAGCGAAACTGCACTTCTCCTTGAACAACTTCTGACTACTCTGGATGATGAAATACGGGCTGAGGTTTTGCACATTGCTCACACAAAGCGCGGGCAGATTACTCAAGTTGATTTGACTATCTGCTCCTTTGATTCAAATATACTCACATTTCTTCCATCAAGATTATGTGGCTTTGTCTCCAGCACTGTCCGTACACAATTGGGGTCTTTGAATTTGACAAAGCCGAAGCCTCGCGACTGATTTGTAGTTTTGTCCTTCATGATGACACAATCTACTACTTCCCCATACTGTGAGAAGTAGTTTCTCAGTGTCTCTGAGAAAAGAAAGAAATTAAAATTAAACAGGGCTGCTTCATAAAAAACAAAAACATACTGCAAATGTGAAAATATAATCAGCCCAGCTCTCCTCCTGAACACAAAGAAGTGCAGTCATGATTTATAGAACTCATGCTTTCATTATGATAAATGACGCTAAGAAAATATCTTCAGCACTTCAACCTGCACTAAAAGTGTAACTGGGACCAAAACAGGTGTGGGAGAAAAAAACCTCACAAGCAGCTCTCTATAAAACTGCACAGGGAACACTATAAGTCATTCGGTGACCTTGGTTTATCTTATCAGAATATTGGGAATTGTACCAATGTTCTTTTTTATTTTTATTTAAAAACCTAACACAGTCGACATTTAAGTCACATACTGACACGCAGAGCAAACACAGCACTGACCCACTGACGTGTTACGTAGCACTAAATGTACACCCAACGACTGTAACGCCCGCACACGCCCACAGAAGCAAGGCGTGCAAGTTTGAACAAATGAGGACTCACTTTGGAAGAGAGTTATCGTAATTGCTTTTCTCATTGCTGGGAAGCCCTGGGGCATCGCCAGGGAAACAAGCTGAGAGTTACACAGCGCTGTGGTTCAGATATTAATGTTAACAGTGCTGTTAACACAGCCAAGCCCTTGTGCAAAGTTACACAATTACCAACCGAGCATGAGCCAGTAAAGTGCTTTAGACAAACTAGACCATCTCTGGGCAAGTCTGAATGAGAGGACAGTGTGGACGGTATATCATGAACTCTACCACCAGTGTTACCGGTTTGTAACTCGTCATCAGTAATGTGAACAGGGAGAAGGTAACAAAGTGTATTAATAAAGAGAAACAGCAGCCACAAGTAGACTCTACCAACACTGTGTGGACGACACTATTTGCGTGAACATACAGTATCAGTATCGTGATTTGATATTTAATAAACATCAGTATCTACCAGTGGTGTGATATTGTTCACTACACGACATATCAGTACTAGAGCTTCACGATACGGTACAAACATCACACTGTGGTTATTCTGACATATACTCACGATAAGTGTGTGAATGATCACCGCACATTTAATTTTCACTGTTTAAATCATGATGATGGGACACGTTTTGGGGTGTGTACCAAACAAACGTGTTTTCTTACATTGGGGAGAACAGGATTTGTAGGCGAGGGATTCTCTGCATCAATATAAAGCTGTTTCATTACGTTCTACCTTTATCAAAGAACTGCAGCTTCTGTGATTTGCATAATGCATTTGACCATATTACAATTTAAATAATATTTCAATTACTGGACTGATATAGTTATTATAACAGTGTGACATTAGAGCTACATACTGATCTACTTTTGGTGCCTATATGATGCCTACTTGTTTTATATGATACCAAAACGATGCTCTCGACTGACCTTAGTGTATATAGACATGTTATTCCACTAAGCTTGTTTCTATGTTTTACTAAATTAACCAATCTGACACGCATCAGTGTCTAATGGTGTCTTAACACAGCCACATGAGCCCTTTATCTTAATGAAACATTGCATAATGTGAACAAGAATAATTTAAATCAGGCAACATTTCATCAAATAATAAATAAGCAAGACAATCTCTGTTAGACCATCGTAGCTATATTAGTAGTTTGTATGCACTTATATGCAAAATATACTGATATCAATATGAAGGCAGATGTAAAAACACTAAGATTTATATTTTAATAATATTGCCCAGCTGTTTCACATTCTTTGATTCAAACTCCAAACAAGAGTCCCAACAAGCTACCACAGCAAATCCATGCAGCCACATCAGTGTCACCTATACAAAATCCCTCTTAATCACAACAACAACAACAAAAAAGTTTATTAAACAGTATAACTTACCTTGTGTCGTACTCCAGTCCAATCCACCCACAAAAAGTTTCCTGAAAAGAGTAGACACGTTACCACAAAGTGAATGATACACTGTTATACAAGCCATCATCACAAAAGATAATAACCAACCATGGAGAGATTTAGTCTGTACAGAGGCCTTAAAATACTAAAATAAAAACAACAACAACAACAACACAGACTGGAGGAGACTGAAAGCAGTTTCAGAGCCACAACAACGCTACAGCTGACTAAACAGCCAAGTACACAGATATTACACAACATGAGGCAACGCTGCTACCAAAGCAGCTGCAGCTTAGACACACACACACACACACACACACACACACACACACACACACACACACACACACACAGAGCTAAAATAACACTGCTTTATATGACTCAGTCCTTGCAGTGGATGTCACTTTTAGGTTGTATCTAACGCTTTCTAACGCCATGGCCTCCACAATAATAGTCTTCTACTTCTTTTTTTTTTTTTTTTTTAATGAACCTCCTGCCACGTAAGTTACCCCGGGAAACACAACCGCAGCGTTCAGCGAGCTAACACACCAACAAAAATAAATAAAAACACCACCCAGCTGACACACTGACAACCACCGGCTCCAGCCTGGCACTGCCGAGGACCCGGAGGATGTTACAGCCCAGAGGAGAGCTGCTCCTCGGGCTGCCTGCATGCGGTTGTGAGGGAGGAGGAGGAGGAGGAGGAGGAGGGAGAGCACCGGTGAACTCTGTGTGCCGGCTGCAATAAAAAACTGGAAGTTTACCCCTCACTTTAAACAGCACTACTATCAAACCAGCCTGTTAATTAATGTCCGACAAAGTGTGCATGGTAGCAGCCAGTGAGAGGAGGGGGATGCTCCATCTCTTTCCCCCCCGGCAGTGCCCGCTAAATGTCCTCACACAGGCGAAGTCGAGAAGAGGAGACTTTCGCTTCGCTGGCAAACGTTAGCTTGAGCTAGCTGCGAGCTAACCGCACAGAGCAGCAGTGTGAATAAAGTGAGAGCACTTTGAGTCTTTGAGTCGGTCTCTTTACGGAGCCGAGGGGCAGCAGCACCGACACACACCGTCTGTTGCACCGTAACCACCAACACGAACAGTCCAGATACTTTAATCACTACTTTCACTTCTTTTTTTCTTGTGTTTTTCTCTTTCTCCGGGGGGGCTAGCGAGCTCGCTAAGTTACTGAGAAAAAAAAAAAAAAAAAGCTAGCTTAGCTCGCTAGCTAACGTTAGCTGTCAAATGACAGACTCCAGCAAGACGAGCGACATCTAACAACACGTCCGACGGCGGAAGAGGTTCGTTAAATGGATCTTACCCGACTTCATCTCCGACTAAGTTGTTGTTCATTTTCTGAGGCTAAAGCAGGGGGGGACCGTAGGAGCTGTGACCGGCTTATTGCTTCAGTGCTGCCCCTCTCTCCTCAGACTGAGAGCGGAGGAAGGTCACTCCGCTTTTTGGTTCAAACTGCTCTGCGCAGTGACGACGCTGCAGGGGGCAGCGGCCTTTAAAGGAACATTACACTCTTTTACTATTTATATCTTCTCCCACAGGAGGAGGAGGAGGAGGAGGAGGTGGGGAGGAGGTGGGGGATCACACTTCATTCATTAATTGGTCCCTGTTAGGAAAAAAAAAAAAAAAAAGTAGAATCAATAGTTGTGTTTTACAGGGGCGGATATAGAGGGGTGGTATAGGGAGGCCCCTAATAAAGGAGATCCCAGTGTTGGTGTTATTTACAGTATATATAAGAGCTTCCAGGTGTGTTGTATTCTGTGTAAAGGCCAGCAGGGGGCGCTCCGCTGGCTGCAATAACACAGCGATCCCTTTCACTTTAATGGATAAATGAGCCGACTTCTCACGTAATTTATGAGCTCAGTAAATGGTTTTCTGATGAGTTTATGGTCTCAGTTGCTTGTTTCACATCTTCTTCAATATATTGTGATGTTCACTTCGTAAATTATGGTCTAATTTAATTTAAAATGGACAATAAAGCCGCGTATGCTTTTGGGGCGGGGCTTCCTTTTGATTGACAGGTCACTCTCGAAACTAAATGTATTATTGCCTTTAATTGATAGTGACAGCTGAGGATTGGGGGGGCAGAGAGAAAGAGAGGGGGGGCTGCAGGTTGATTTGAACACAAGGACTCAGCCTTGGTACATCGGGCTGTACCAGGTGAGCTATCCAGGCATCTCTTGTACACATTGTTAGATCAGTTGGTCGCCACAATTCAATCCCACGGAAACCATGAGCACCAGAGTATCAGTAGATCAAATTAATGATTTATATTTAATATGTTAATTTGATAGCCTTATTTTTAATATTCATACTGGTCTGAATAAACAATTTAATAGTATTTCTCATCTTTATTGGGTAAGAATGTTTTGTGCGAAAGGAATTAAAGCTCTGTCCCAAACGAAGGCCGGTTGAGTTCAGGGATTGAAGCAAATAAAAGCCTGGCACATTTAATGTAATCATCTTTTATGGCCACAATTTATTGATTTTTTTTTTTGCCTACTTATTTATTAAAGGCTTTTTCTGCCTTTATTCAACAGGACAGGTGAAGATTGACAGCAAAGGGCTGCCAGTTGGAATTGAACCCGGACCGCTGCAGTAAGAACTCTACATGAGGCACTTGTTCTACCAGTTGAGCTAACGAGTGCTTCTTGGCCACATCTCAGACTGATTGGCTTAAGTTCAATGAAGAATTGATTGATGATGAATGATTTCTAATGCCACATTTATAGATATATCTATTCAATGTTTTAGTAATGTGCCACAATGATGTTTCTGAGTTCAAATATCTTCATTTAGGAGCTTTTCCAAGCAAATATTGATACATATTATTGATTAAATCAGCATATATTCTGGCCACCCCATGAATATTTCTTTAGATCCGCCCCCGATTGTGTTACAATCGTTTATTTAAACATTTAGACTAATTGAAAACATGATCTCTTTTGAAACCTGTGTATAACAAGGATCATATATAGTATAAAATCATAAACAAATACAATTTAATTAACAAAATTACAACAATAATAATCGATTATTATTGTTGTAATTTTGTTATTATTAGTCGACAATAACAAGTGGCATTACTACTTGAGTCAAATGTAATAAGAGAGATTTTAACTTCATTGTCTTGTGCAGCTCATTCTGCATATTGGGAGTATTTAAAAAGCTCAGTTTGAACATGAGGTAAAGTTAAAAAATTATACACCAATTACCAAATTTCCCAAGAGAATTAGTGAATTGCTTTCTTATTATACATCAAAATTAAAAGTCTGGCCAGTAGCGTAGAACAAATGTTCTTATGATCATCCCAGAACTATAAATATAAAAAGGATGTGATCCTATTTGCATGAATGTGCACAACAGGGACTGCAGCTGAAAATTAGCCTGTATGGCTAAATCTGGCACATTTACATAGTGGAATTAAATCCTTGTGGTAATTAATGTGCATTGTCCCTTTTAAATAAATAAACTTCAATAAATTTCATGCAAATCCTCAAAATACTTTTCTGCTGCTGGAAACAGAACCGAGACGATCACACAAGGTAATAAATCACCACAGGAGGGACGTAACAAACATTAAACAGTGACATTTAAATCATGAAATGCAAATGTAAGTGACAGAGGTGACACATAGTGTAGTGTGATTAAATAACACCTTTCAGGCACAATAACTCCCTTTTAAAAATATCCCACAACAACAACAACATAAGCGACTGAAGTCTAAACGTTCTGCACAACACAAAGTGTCTAAAACTGTCTTCACGTTAACAAGCCACAGATGTACAGTTAGTGTCCATGAGTGAACTGATATTAGTTCCCAGGTGGATTAAAACAGAGCTGAAGACTTATAATACAAACAGTAAAAGTGAATAAATATGTAAATTGAACACAGTCACATTTCTATATTATCTGCGGTTGTAAAATAAATGAGACAAAGTACAATAATTATTACCCAACAGTAAAATAATACTAACAGGAACCGTTCTGAAAGATACTTTAGGTACATTTTACTAGTATTTTACTTAAAGTTTTTAATGCAGGTCTTTAATGTAGTATATTTTTTATAGTGTGGTATCACTATTTTTACTTTTGCTGCTGATTTTGGTCCACATGAGGACCCTTACTTCTTACTGCGTACCTCTACCTCTGGCCGTACCCGTCACTGAGGCCACTGAGATTAAGACCACTGTGTATTTTCTGAGGGGTTTACAATGAAAGCTGTTAAAGTAATAGTCTAGAAATAACTTTGCTTTGATGCAACCAGCAAGTTCAGCTCTTTGGACCTATCTGTATGTTCTAATACCTGCGTACAGGAAGGCTGTTGACCTACTCCTAAATACCTGTATAACTGCGTCTCTGTATAAACACAGAGATAGCTTAATGCTAAGACAACAGCACTGAAAATGTCCTGTTAACAAAGATTTAAAAAAACAGAGTTAAAAACTGTGTTTAGGGTTAGGGTTGTACTGAATTAGGCACCTTTTTTGGTCCAGTTTAAATACTTCCACCACTGGAAATGTGGTTGTGAATAATCCTATTTACAGTAGTTGTTCCATTGAGGTTATTAAAGTTTTATCACCAATAAACAAAATGGCCTACTCTTACAAAAATGTAGCCTATAAATACAGGAATTATTATTTTAGTATAAAAATGTACACGTAAACAGGAAGGCTTTCATTTTCAGCAGAAAACAGAGAGCTGCACATTTCAGCAACATCCTATCATAGTTGTTTTATTTAATGAACGCCTCAACACTTCCTGAAGGTTCAACAATACCTGCATTCAAGTGTCAGATTCAGTGAAAAAATGTTCTGCCAGATGGAGGAAAAAAAACATATCAGCTTCTATTAGTACCAAGAAGTAGGACATTTCTTATAGACGTAGATATCAGCTACAACTACGGCATAGTTGACTTCCTTTACTTGTAATGTCTTTGAGAAGATTTCTGCAAAAATTAGACGTAATTGTGAAATCTTCTTCTGTTTATACCTCCTTCTCTGCACTGCTCCTTCACTAACTAGTGGTGAATTTGAAGTATTTTATCCTGTTTATCTATCTATCTATCTATCTATCTATCTATCTATCTATCTATCTGTCTGTCTAACTCTATCTGTCTGTCTATCTATCTATCTATCTATCTGTCTATCTATCTATCTATCTATCTATCTAAAACTAAGCCAACATATTTGCATACATGTTGTCTATCTATCCATCTAGTGTGTCATTTAAAGCATATGCAAAGTCAAACATGTCGCTTACTTCGTGCAATAATTGTCCAACTAATTAACAATAAAAATAGAAGTACACATTTTGGAGAATTCCCCAAACAAACGCAGAGCTCCCAGTGGGGGCTATAAATGTCAGAATGAGATTCACCTTCTCACTCGGAGTAATGTTTGTGTCTGAAGGATGTTCTTGTTTCTCTTTAGCTCTTTAATGTAATTTCTGAAGGACAAAATGAGGTCACGCGTCAGTATGTCAAGATTTATAACAGACTCTCCACTGGGGACCGGAGTCCATCAAAACAGGGGGTTTTCAAATTACAATCGGGGAAACAGCTTGATCATGTTTCTCAGAGGAGATTGGCTCGCCTGGAAAGGGTCCTATATTGTTAATAAAGAGTCAAAGTAGAGCAGGAGGAGGAGATGGTGATGATGGTGTGATTATCTCATGTCCTCTGGGTTGTCAGTAACTGGTTATGTTAGAATAACTGTTGGTTTATAATCATCAATCTGCAGATACATGTATTATTTATTTATTTGTTTTATTTTTAAACATAAAATGTGACCATTTCATATATTGTATCCATTTATAGATGCAGCACTGCAGAATTATTTCCTCTGTGTGTATATATATGTCATTAAACTATATGATGATCTTTTTCTATGTCTGTAACATGAAAGGACAGCATAAAAAAAACATAAAACACAGGACACGTAATACAAAAGTTACACACAACAGCACATTACACACCTTGTCAATAGTGTTAAATTAAAACAAAGATATCTGTAAAGCAGAAACCAATAAAATGCAGTCGGTGGTGACACTGTTAGCAGACTCTTCAGTTAGGTTTTAAACCCACTGATAGTTCAGATATTTCCTGACATGTGACACAAATACAATGCGCTCTAATCAGTGGGTTTATAATTACAATCTGATAAGTGCTACAGTTCAA